GTCTGAACTTCAAAAATGGTTAACATAATATTTCATGTTATCAAGGGACAGCTAGAAACTATGGATGTACCAGAAAAGAATGGAAGACATGAGATCGTCATCTCTACAAAAGAAGCCATGCAGTCCACAGTCATGTAGAGGTCAGTCAGTTTTGTATGGTTTTCAGTCACAATTTCTAGAACACATTTTTGCCTACCGATTCATGGAAAACTAAGAACGTGACAAGTAAGTGAAGCAATGAAACATTCTTGCTGCTGAAATAGGTTGAAATAACTTAAGTTTTGAATTTTGCAAGCATGCAGTTTAAGCTGGTTTAAGTTAAGCTGCCCCTTTACGCCATTCCTCTTCCCGTCCTTCCTGCTGACTTATGTGCGTGGCTGTCAAGTGAATCAGACCAGGGTATGGATCTGGCTGAATCATTCTTTACCCTGCATTACTTTTCAACTGGATCCAGTTCCCTGGTCTGATTAACTTTCACAGCTTTGAACACTTGCAGAACTGAGAGAACAGAGAAGAGTGGCCAAAGGGAGGGTCTGCTTACAGGAAATGCTGCTGTCAACAGGAATTTACATTAAACCATAGCCAGTACAGCCCTGGCTCTAGCTTACTGGACACTGATTGTTGGTACCACTTCTTGGGAAGAGTATTCTGGGATCTGGCTACCCCAGGTAAACTTGGCATAAAATTCCTCAAGTCCCTTCAAAATTTATGAGTATCTCTCCAGAGTTTCAGTTGTGAACTTAAATACACCAAGGACATGTAACAACTGAAGGAAGTACTCTGCAGCCTTTGTAGAGGCATTGCAAAACCACTTACATTACAGTGATGGATTCTTACCCCAAAATATGCCTGTATTCCTTTCCTCTCCTCAGTGCCCTCACCTGAGCTTTTCCTGGTCTTTGACCTATGTTTTCAGGGATCATAAGTATCCCTCCAAAGCACTCCACAACTAGCTCAGCTTTCTCTTCCTTCTCACAAAATCTCCTCTGAATGCTAGAATATGCATTCTGTCAGTTAAAAGATCTGTTGGGAAAAATGTGCTTTCATTACCTCCCCCTATGAAAGCGTCTGTTTTGCTTTCCACAGCTTCATCGCCTCTCCTTTGGCTCTGCACCAGCAGGGGGAGAACGGTTCCTCTTGACTGAAGGAACTTTTATTGTTCATGGCAGTAGCTCTTCCGGAGTCTACTGTGCCTTTTTACCCTTATACGCTGGATGGATATGACACAATGGCAGATACAGCATACATTGAAGCATTTAATGATGCACAGTTTTATAAAAGTAATCAGTGTTATACAAAGAAGTGCCTACAATTTGCATACACAGTGAAATATTATAGTAGTATATAGGCATATTAATACACTGAATTTTGAAATAGGTATATGAATTAAAAGGTACATACACATTTATTTTAATTAGTGTTGAAATAAATCATATGAAAAAGGGAGGAATAAAATACCGTCAATAGCATTTTCTTCTGTAGCCCTTTATAGCCCTTACATGACCCTCTTCCTGCACTGAATGCCTTAAAAGCTTGAAAGTGCTGTTGCAATGTCCTGTAAAGTGTTACTGCTTCAGTTCTGTAGATTGGGAAGTGAGTTACTTAGAGGTGAAGTAGTTTACTGAAGACTTCCAAGCAAGGAAGAGACTTGACACAAGGTCTCAAATTCTGGCTCTAAGCATTCAGCGGTGCTTTCTAGAGAAATGGCTAGCTGCGACACAGAAAACATAGCTCCTACTTGAGAGAATCAGCGGGAGAAAAACTGTTTGAATGTTTGGATGTCATGTTTGATTTTAGGAATAGCTTTCGTAGATAGTATGCAAGCTTCAGCTGGTAGAAGACACTTCTGGTTTTGCCCCTGAGCAATGCTAAGAGAAAAATCAGAAGTGTGCTTAATGTCCCCAGCTGACCGATGAGCATAAAGGTCAGTTTGGATAGTATGTGATGATCCTGAAATTTCTTTTCATTTGTAATTTCTGTTAGAATTTCAACCCATATTAATGGATTGAAATTATTGAAGTTGTGCTAGTTTGCACTACCTTGTGTAACAAGTGCATAGAGCAGGGTATTACAATAGCGTGCTTCCTTAGGACACGATGTGTAAACCACTTGAAGTGGGATGAATCTAAATTTATCACTGCTGCACCACAAGTAGAAGATAAATGAAGATGTACATACATTTTCTTCAGCACTTTCTGAAAGGAGTTCTGTGCTTTTGATGTGCCTTGTTCTGATTTTATGCACTACAGTGGTACAGACAACAGTTTCTTTCCACTGTCAGGATAAAGATGTTAGAACAGATGGCTCAAACACTTTTTACAAAGTGTTGAATATAGGTAATATATTTACATGCTCGTGGAGTTCATGGTCTGTTTTCTAGCACTGGTACCTACAGTGATTTCTGCAATTCTGTTTGTTAGTCTCCAAGTTGGACGATATCTTACAGATTCAGAGGGAGAAGGTTTTAAGAACTTGGACAAATTTTTCAGAAGGGCTAAACAAACTTTGGAATTAAAGTCCCGTTTTCAAAAGTGACTTAGTGGCCTAAATCCTACTGCTGTGCAGTAAGATGCCGACTACAAAGGCACAGAACCTTAACTGCCAGCTTCTATTAATGTCATAACCATACTGACCATACTCCTCTGCTCAGTGCTCACTGATCTAGGCGATCCATAATGGAGCCCTTGTGCAAAAGGTTACATCTGGTAATGGTGAAGTAAGGTCAAAACCCTTGAAGCCCATTATCATTCCCCTGAACTATTTTGCCATACAAATAGCTTTGAATGTCTTCTTTCAAAGAGTGTTTTCATTCACCTCTTTTCAGTTTTCAGTTATCAAGAATCAGGTTCTCTCTGAGCCACATGCTTTGCTACTCCTAAAGCTGTTTATATTCCGCTGTGTCAAAGGGTTGGCTTCTAGGACTAGCTGTAAACAATTAGTTCAACTATTTGACCAGAATTTAACAAAGTTGGAGAATTAATTAAATTCTCCAGACTTTCTAAGTAAGGGAGCAGCAGGGCTGATTCTGGAGAGCACAATTTAATACAATTAAACTCGTATTTCAATAAAGCCAAATGTCATTCTTTTCAATAGATGCATACAGGCGTTGCTTGGAGTACTTACAGTCTCAGCTTTGTCCTAAGTAGTAAGTTTGAGCACGCTTTATGAGCAGCTAGTGGACAATATGGAAGACAAAGGGATTTCTTTATCGTTCTACTTGCCTCAACCTGTCCCATTAGAAAAATGATTTTATTAATTTTTTATGACTCCTGACAACAAAGCGCAGGTAATATTCTGAATAAGCCTTTGGCAAATATTATTCTTTATCCCTAATATGACTTCCAAAAGATTTTATTTATTTCATTTATAGAAATGTAAATGCTAATGCATTGTCAACCACACTTTTGCTGTTCTGTTAGAATTTTCTTAGATTCACATTGCAGACTAGTTTCCTGTGTTTTAGAGAGTGTTTACTTCTGTCATGCATTACTGATTTGATACACAATACCACTCATTTCTCTTCAGTCTATACGATGCAGGCCACCATGTCCCCAGTTATTTTCACAGTACTACATTAAGTGCAAATAACAAGGCCACCTCTTAAGTTGCAATAAGTGAGTGGAGTTATAACCAGGAAAAGACAAAATGTAGTATCCCTGTAGCTATTTAATTTGTCTGTTATTTATGCTCAGTGTCCACGAATGTACAACAGAATCCTTAGCTGCAGAATCATTAGCACCATGTATTACATATTTTTTATGCATATGTTGTTTTCCCGTTTGTTTTAATACCAGAGCCATTACCAATTACAGTTCTCATTCAGATGATCCCAGCAATAGGTGGCATCATCAGTCCACGTCCTTGTCAACTCATGCAGGGAGACTGGCAGAAATGTTCCTGATGCTGGGTGAAAATATTAACTACTGCATAACATATTTAAAAATAGATATTAACAAATGAATTATTCATTTAAAACATTCAGCCAGATCTATGCAACATAAGGAAAGTGAGGTTTAATTAGCTTACATGAAAATTTTTGTAAAAGCAAATGCATTCAGAAGCGATTTTACATGAAAATCTCACCAAATCAATGTCAACATTCAAATGTCTATTTTTAATGTTTTTCTTCCAGCCAAACAATTGTGCTGGCCCTAGGGTAAACAGTAAAACACATTTACCTGACGTGAGCTATCCCACTGGAATACTTTGTGCGAATAAAGTTTAGCACGTGTCAAGGGCTGCAGGCTTAGGTCAAAAGCATGGAAAATTTCCAGCATCAGAAACAAAAGAACGTGTTCATGGAATAAAAAATGGGAAATGTAAACAGAGACACACCTAGTCCTGTATAAGATGGAGATCTGAGTCTAAAAACTCTTTTTTTAGACTGTGCCCAAGCCTCAGGAGAGTTTTACCTTGTAAAGTTCCCTGCAGTTCTGCTTGGCCAATTGTCTAAGTTCAATACCAGGTGGCAATACACAGTTTCTGTGTGGCTCACGTGCCAAGGTCCCCATTCTGCAGAGTGAGACATAGGATGCAGGTGGCAAGGGGGGAGGGAATGATAAATACCCTAGTGGTTGTCCCATTATAACACTGAGATTTAACAAGGAACAAGCATGGCTGTGGGAAGCAGAAAGCATTCCTGGGTTCTGTGGTGTAAGCATTTATTTACTTTCTGTGGTCATCCAGAGCAATGATTTATGATTGCTTTTGCCCATGAAAGAATTATGACTGCGGCAATGAAGCCCTTGGATTTTAAAAGCAGTGAGTCAGAAAAAAGAAATGATCAAATATCAGAATACTGAATGGATTAAAATGTAAAATGAATATTTCCACTTCCTGTCTTAGAAAAGGTCCAAATTGCATCGTCTTCCATACTCCTGAAGTTGAAATGAAAAGTGAAGAAGAAACATCTATGGAAAATATGAAAACAGAGCTTGCGAGCGAACATTCATGGCCTTGAGCATATTTACATACATAGGCAGGAAATGTCCATACTTGATCTACAGTCTGGAAGTCATGCTTGTTTGATTGGCTTGTGTGTTAGCTTCCCAACCACTTCTGATCTTTTTTATCCTCTTCCTAAAACATGGGAGGAGCAGTATACATTTACAAAGCAGAACTACAATAGGAAGAAAAACTGCTACCATAAATGAAGGTGGTGTATACCAGATAAATTGGTTAACATCAACCCACTTATTCCAAGCAAACACCAGTGCGTGAACAGTGCATAGCAGCAGAGCTAAATATCCCATCTTGCTCTGAAAAGAGAAAGAAAACAGTAAGCTATTTATTTTTTTCCAAATTGGCAAAAAGAGTACTTTGTTAAGCAAATATGGAAATCAGGAAAGGGCTTCAACCAACTCAATTAAGTCAAAGAAAAGCGAACATTGGCTTTGAACTAAAATTTAGGAACTATAATTCAAGAATCCAGGTGTACCCCTCTATGCCACCGTAAGAGAAAACAGATAAGGCACATTTTTCAAGTATTGCTATGATACTTAGCTAATATACAGAAGAGATTACAGTTTACAGGCTATTCCTGAAAAAGGGTCAATTCTCAGTATCTCAATTTACAAATGTCATCTGTATCCTAATTTATTTCTGTGATAAATTATTAGGAGTTCAAAAGCAGATCTATAAATGGCTTAACTGATTGTTTGCAGAGAAATGTTAAGGTCAATTAAAATCAGAAACTCCAGTAAGTCTAGTACTATGACAAAAGCAACTGCACCACTATAGGAAACTGAAGTCTTTCATTCCACTTACAGTGATAAAATTGGCTTAGGATGACTACAAAATTCATGAGTAAAGGAAATTTTATGCTAGAGTTTCTAGTAATTTTGAGTTTCTTGTTGCACAACCATCTTGATATTGTTGGAAAAATGGAGTTACTCATCAGTGAAGTCAAACACTGCCTTTTCAACTGCTAAATTGACAGAATCCGATTTTTGAGTATAAAGGTTGTTTATAAAACAAATCCAATATAGTAGTAATACTCTTCTGGGTTTCTTCACCATACTAATTTAAAACTGAAAGCAGTCATGCACTCAGAGACACCTTCCTAGATCTGTCCATGTATATTCTCTGTAGAGCTGAAAACTTTTCTTACAAATTATGTGCTTCATAGAGTAGGCAGAATCTCAAATCACTCATTATAGGAAGATACACATTTCAGATCTACTTTTCAATGCAGATTTCAGATCAAATTTTCAAATGCCAGGTACTTAGTAGATTATTGAATTTTCAGATTTTGGTGTTTGGGGACCTAATTGAACACTTGCTTAACTAGTGTGATCATACTGATGTTGGCAGAACTACCCCGATTAACTGTGTATGATACAGGAGAACTAAGAGCAAACCAGATACTTAGGTGAACGAAACAGGCCCATCTGTAGCAAACTTAGGACTGGATGGATTTGATCATGCATCTGTTCTAAGGTGTGTCCTTTTCAGAATACACCTTTTTCGAGGGGGTTATGAAACTAGTAATGCTGCAGATGGAAAACCTTTGCATGTATTATTGAGCAGAGGTCATCTGGACTTCCCAGGCATCTGGGTGTTGCATGGGAACAGCATTGGCTGGTTCAATACCATCTACTTCCAATTCAGCAGGACACAGGGCGTTCCTGAAACATAAGATGCCCAGAAGATGACTGAAATGCCTTCAGTACCAGAGGACTTTGACATAAGGACAGGTCCTGCAAAAAAGTGGTTTGGAGTTGTCTTTCTTCCCACTTTATACCCTGAACCTGGCAGCCTTTTCTCCTGACAAAATAACAAATGAAATGAACATTTCTTGCAAAGCGATTAACAGAGAGTATGGAACAAACTGTTAGACTGGTTTCACTAGCTCCTCTGTGTTTGAAGTATCTAACTCCTAGTGGTCTTAGCTGATAACATACAGTCCTACAAATAAGTACTAATGACGTGCAGTAATGACATTTATGCATACCTGAATGTAGTGGAACTCTCTCCAGGTCAGAGAGTGACTGACAGATGGGATTGATGTTATTGCCAACAAGGCCAGCAAGGCAAGTCCCAGAATTCCTACAGACACATAAATCTCCATTCTCCAAACATCGTGTTCAATCCAGGCATTTTCCTTTTTTTGTTTGACCTGCCAAAATAACACCATATTTAAAATGACTGGCACACTTAGCCATTTGTGTGAAATACAGCTATTTTCACCCTAATATTCAGGAAATAAGCCAAGAAACACAGTATTTTTGTTTGTTTGAATGTCTCTCAATGTAACTGCTATTTACTTCTGATGACAGTCTCCACTAGTACCTGCAGGGCAAAGGTGGGCTTTAAGCGAGAAGAATTTAGACTTCATCCGTGTCTTGGCCCAGGAGAGACTGGTTCTGAGGCCTGTTAGCATACCTTCACAGCAGGAGAAATCTTATTCTTTGACAAAAAAAATTCCATCTACGGCTAACTACCATTTCTGGGAGATTATAACAACAGGAAATATATTAGCAGCACTATTTTAGGGAGCTAATTCAACAGGCATTCTTAATGATGGTACCCTGCCAGGATAGTTGTTTAGCTCTGTTTTTTAGAAAACAACAACTTGGTACATTCAGCTGCACTGAATACAATGGTCAGTGTGGATGAAAAGGTTGTGATTTTAATAAACTGATGTCAAAACTTCTCCTATTTATGACTACGTGCAACAGCCCTTTAATGCTGCTAGTGATCACCATGGCATAACGGCATACTATGCCCCAAATATGATCATTTCTTCATCTTGAGGACTGGAATCTCAAGGAAATTTCTAGTAATCCATTCAAGTCAGACTACTGGTAAGGCTGATTTCAGAGTTTTCAACAGGTACTTTGACTGTTTATAGAACTCTTAAGAAGCTGCTAACATCATATTGTGCTTTTAATAAAATTCTAGATTAGGCTTTGAGGATGATAAAAATGTACATTTGCAGTCTACACCTTATATTGGAATATTTCTTACACTGCAATACTCATGGCACTCAAGGTGACACACAAGTGTTGGGAACTCTGCAGTCACAGAGGAGCTTAGGGAGCTTTGCAAGCCAATTATGCCCCGTGACTCAGAAGCATGATTGAAACTCTGTCTTTTAACAAGTTAGTGTGCATCAGCCCAATTGTGGAGCCATCAGTGTTCACAAATTTAGTTTGTGGCAAATACAGATTATTCTGATTTAGCTAAGCCCTCCTTCACTGCTGACTAATTCACTTTAGAAAGATGTCTAAAACTGGTGTGTGCTCATTTTTGTATACAGCTAGGTTCCACTGGTGCAGAGGAGATTAATCCACATGGAACTAACAGTATGCCAAAGACTTAAATGTTCCTGTGAGGCAGGTATAATTATGTGCATTTTACAGAGATAAAAAATCCCACATGCAGAAAATGACTTATTTAATACACACTGGCACAGCTGTAATGACTCTTGACTCTCTATTACATGCTTTAACACCTAGGTCCTGCTCCATCCCTTAACAGTGCTCTGCTTCAAAATCAAGTGAAGGCAACAAAAATGGCTTTCCCCACATCCCGATTTGCTTGAACGACAAAACCAAGGATTTTCTGAATACCGAAGGGTTCGTGTTTGCATGCCCACCATACCTGCTGGAATGCCCAGTTCAGCAGCTTGTATCTGTATGATCTTCTCATTGGATAGCATAGGCTATAGCAGGCGTGCATTGCAGCGAAGAAGAAACTGAGAAGTCCAAATTGCTTTCTTGATAACATCCATCTATCCAGCCACTGGGGAAACCTTTTATACTTGGTGCCAAAGTACAGCTGGAAACCAGCAGCTAATATTCCTGGTAAATATACTAGTGCTAAAAGGGTAATTGAAACCACTGGTAGAACTTTGTTTGTGACAAGGATTGGAATTTTATAGAAAACATTTTCCTTTCTGGTTATAAAAGGATATATGACATCTCTCATAGAAGTGTAAATAAATGTTAATAATGAGATCACAGATGCTATCTTCATTGGCAAGTGCCACTTGGGGAACAGATCCTGCTTGCAGCGTTGTTCTGAAGAGTGTTCAAACTCACCAAAATGGTGTGCTTGAGGTAAATTAAAAAGTTCAGCTGCTTCTGGTGGATTGGTGACTTGCATATCCACATTCTGGAAAGGACAGAAAGGAAATACCGAGTGAGTTCAAGAGAAGATTAAAAAACTTCAGTAATGACAGTATTTGCCATCGTGGCTTTTAGACCATACTGCACTGAAACCATATACAAAACATACACCCTATTAAAGGCAAGGTAGCTTTAAAACATAACGTTTCAAACAGCATAGTCAGTAGTTGAGCAAGGCACTTGTAGCATAGATTTCTCATTCTTCATCCATTATCTGTGGAATAGATTATAATTCCAGGAAGTTAACTACACCGCAATGGAAGATGGATTACATTATGTAAAGCATCATTACAGCTTCTTATGATACGAGCTACAGATTTCAAATGTCAAATTTCAGCTACAGACTTAATGATGTAGCCTAAATAATATCCACAATAACAGAATCCAGAGTCCAGACAATAAAGTATTTCATTCAGTCACTGCTATTTGAATGACATTTAATTGGGGGAATAAGGATCTAAGTAGAAGTGTTCGAGATCCAGCGTATTAGACCAGCTGCACACCTGTCAACTCCAGCCTCAAGTTCTATGGTCTTCTTCCTCTCCTTCATAAAATGTAATAGTGTCTTCTCAACTTTTATGAAACCTTGTGAACCTGAGTCACTTCAGTTTAAAAAGCTGAATTTTCTGCAGCCAAGTAGGCATGGCTTGATTCTAGTCTCACAGAAGTTGGCAGAATTATCTCAGACTTTAGAAGGAGCTAAACCAGTACAAAATTTGGTGCAATATTATAAACCTTTTTACACTGAGATAATATATTTAAAGATTGTCCCATAGTCACAGTTCATGGAAGAGGTACACAATCAGTATACATACAAAATGCAAATACGTGTATCAACAGCAGGACATTGCACTTGATGCAGCAGACAGCTGACCAGGGGTGGAGAACTGACAACATTAGGTAATAAACTTGTAAGTCCTTTAATATTCCCATGAAATATAAAGTAAAACCGAACTAATGCTGTAACGGCTCAGCTTTGGACTGGCTAATGTGGCAAATGCCCAGACTTCCAGAAAGCAAAATGGCACTGTCCGTTTTGAGGAAGGCAAGTATTAGTAGTTTGAAAGTTGTAAATTAGCATTCTGCTAGGATACAGGAGTTCTTCCTATCTCAGCAAGATTATCTGGCTTTATTCCTAAGAATCAAATAGTACATTGAAGCTGATTAAGGGGTCAGTTCAAACAAAGCACTACTTGTAAATAACGCAGGGGTAAGTAGGTGCAAGTCCTGTGGTCTTCGTCAATGATACATAGGTGTTTTGTCTTAAAAGGAAGATAAAAAATGTACACTGCTATCTTGCTGTAAAATCGTAATTAGAGACAAGGTAGCCTGTTTCCCACCACATGTCTGACTGACTTGCCTAGAGTGCCTCACAGTAAAATTGAAGGGCATGGTCTTCATCAGGGTTTTTTAGCTGAATAGCTACTATATGCTTATCTGATGATAAAAGCGTATTTTTGTAACAGTGAAGGTGTAGCCTAAGTAACTTTTATTCTCTAGTCTGTGAAGAAAAGTGGAGCGTAGCCTGTGCATTGCAGAATCGGAAGCTGGTATAAATTATACAAACCAAGATTCACATGGGAACCAAGTTTCACCTAGAGATACCTGTTTCTTGAAGAGATAGTTTGCAAAGCAGTATTTCACAGCCTGTTGGACATTAGAATAGAAAGTTGTAGCTTGAACCACTTCTGTGCATCAGCAGTTGCAGAGGCAAATGTTGTTGGTTTTTTTCTGGACTTTTTCGTGTGATGTGGAAAACTTACTTAATGTCATGTGGCGATTATGAAGACTCCTCCAAAGATGAATTTTGTATTCCTCTACAAAAATCCCAAAATATTTCTGCAGAGCTCTGCTCATTTAGTAAAATGCAACTAGCAACTAACCTTGTGTAGTTTTTAGCTGGCCCAAACTTTCTGTATCTTTTATCATAGACTTTGATTAAATTGAATGAGATGCTCTGTATCTTTTTATCTCTTCATGTCAATACTGTGACAAGACTTTAGAAGTATTGATGATATGCCAGTGTGATGGGAACACAATGTTTCTGGACAAAATGGAATGAAAGACTGCAATATTCCATGTGACATATGAGCTGCTTTTTTACAGAAACATTACCAAGTTGCTAAGGTTTCCTGTATTTCTTCTCAGCATGATGCTCTGACCTGCATTCTGATCAATGGCATGATTACCACCTTCCCTCTTCTCCATTGTGGAAACTCCCTGAAAAACAAACACAGGATGTAAAACAGGTTTTGAAAAGCCCTACTGGAACTTTGAGGCCTATTTTCCCTCAAAATGTTTTCTTCCCCCTCCTCCACCCATTTGCTGGAGAACATATGATAATCTTCAGAGAACAGAAAAGTTAAACTTGTTTTTTAAGTAAAGTGGACACTAAGAAAGGGTATGAATCAAGAGAACAAAATCACTGATGAAAAATAATATTTAAGCTAGATGCCCATGTCGCCAGTGGCATGAATGCATTAATTCAGGATGAAAGTTTTTAGATTACAACAAATGAGTTTGAAACAACTTGCAGAAATAACATGTAAAATGTCATGAAGATGGAATCTGTTAAGTTCATGAGACTTGCCAATGCAAATATTTTTTAGGATTTAGGATTGGTCTACCTGACAATCACTCTGTGGCTTTAGAGGTATATTCTCCCTTCGAGATTGTCAGAAAACTCCAGCTGGAGCTTCACTCATGCTGTTCCAAGGTATACTGGCAATACTCCTCACCCACAAGTACCAGCAGAAATGGTTCTAAGCTATTAAGGACTGCAAGAAATCAGAAGTCAGGAAAAAAAAAAGGAAAAGAATGGATAAACTGAAAGAGATGCTTCCAACAATCCTAGGAAAGCAGGAAAGACAGTATCTTGAAGGCTGTAAAATAACTACAAGGACAACAAGAATCATAGAATGATAGAATTGTTTAGGTTGGAAAAGACCTTTAAGATCATCAAGTCCAACCAAGGACCCTGCAGCAAGGACTTCCCATGTGTGCACCACACTGTTGCAGGCTGCGGGGGGAGAGGCACTAGCACCACGCCGCTGGAAGCTCAGGGTGCCACACCACAGTGCGACTTTCTGCGGCTACCTTTAAGACAGTGACTAGGTAGCTCTTCCATGTATCTTCCCACTGAACAGCTGAATTACTAGATGTGATGTATCTATTACTAGATATATGCTAACTACTGATTCTTTTACATCCATAAACCTTTTGGGAAATTGTATGGACAAATCGAGACTTCGACAGTTGTCCTTTCTTTACTGTGTCTGGTTCCTTCAGTGGATGAGTCCTACAGTCTTGCACTGTCTGCTATGAGGGTTCGCTTCCTCACAGGCCATCAGACTCCTGAAGCCTAAGTATTCTCTTCCTAAGTATTTCTCTGGATTTTTCCCTCCTGCTAGCAGGCTCTCTCCCTTTGGCAATAACCTTTCAGCCAAGTGTTGCAGAGCAGGGTCAACAAGAGCTTCTGTCTGAAGGTCAGGCTGTTAACCCTTTCCTACACCAGCTAATGGATGGTTTGTATATCCCTCACACAAGAAAGCATGGGCCAATGAAGGCACATTTCTGTTTTTTGCCCCCTATTCCTAAGGCTAGTCCCAGTGATTTCATCCCAAGTTTCGTGGTATCAGGTATCTTCATAAAACCTCAGCTCCTACAGTCCCATGATTAGTTAAGAATTTCTACTTCTATCTGTTTTAATATACTGTATTTCTAGCTGTTACAATGGCAAAGAATAGTTTACAAACAGAACTCAGTATAATGTAATTACCTGGAAAAAACCAGTAACAAATACAGTGAGCTCCAGATCTATTTTTAAAAGAACTCAGAATATCAAGGGCAGTCACACTGTTTTTGAGGCCTACCCTCTGATGTTTAAAGTTTGATGTGGAATAAAAAGGATGTAAACTTACAGACTGACTTTTTACTCTTTTAGGTAATGGGACTTGACTTCTTAAAATTGTTAAAAGTCTGTGGCTCAGATCTTTGCTGCTTTTAAATTTTTTTTTTCTGTACTGATCTCTGTTGAGCTTTCAACTGTTAATATCACCAGCCTACAAGAGCTTACACAGTGATCCCAGCCACTCCATAACTCTCCTCTTCTGACTACCACACTATCTTGGGGGCCCAAAAGCACATTTTAGATTAGAAAGCTCTGTGTGGAAGAGCTTGATTCACCTGATTCTCATGCTGCTATCACTCTTCATTTATAAAATTTAGAAATGAAGAGTCCAGTAGCAGCTTCTAGCTAAAGGCTTGTATCAATGAGGATGTAGTAAATGGTATCATGATGTGAAAATAAATAAATCCATGAACTAGAGTGCCAGCTGTTGATCCTAAAAGCTGATTTATTGGTTCCGTTGGGAAACAATGTTTAATACAGTGTTAATGGTTCATGCAGCAGAAGACAAAATGGAGAGAAGAAAGAAAGTGCGTGTGAATGAATGCATGCGCTCATCCATGGAAATATGGGTTACAGCTGTGCGACTGCATGCAAGGAAATACAGGTGCCAAAGCATAACAGTCCACTTGGCTTCTGATACCAGAGTTAACACAAAATTATTTCTTCGGCACGCCCAACAACAAAGCACAGTAATAAGTCTTGGAAAGCCTTAAATACAAGGCAGTTCTAATTCCACTATTCAGTGTCTTATGAATTGCCAGAAAGGAGTCATCTACAGCATGTGCCTTTCTGGAATACATGTGATGAAAAAAGATTTAGGAGTCCTGTGAGAGACAGAACCTAATCAGTTACAGCCCTAGCTAAGTCACAACTGTTATGAAAGAAAACAAGTTGTAGTAACGTCCATCCTCGGTGCACACCACTTCTGCTCTGGGAGGCAGCTGTGAATGAGGATGGAGGATGTCCAGCTGCAGAAAACCAAGTTTCCAACGCTGTGAGTACGCTACTGCATTTTGTACTAAAAAAACATGCTCATTATAATGCTGAACCAACAGGGATGCACACTGTGCAGACATTATCCCCAGAAGACATCATCCAAAGTCAACGAGAGGTTTTCCTGAGTAAGGGGTTTCAGGGCTGGCTCCAAAAAAAAAAAAAAAAAAAAAAAAGAAAACCGGGTAAAATAAACAGGCTATGATAACAACGATGAGGTGATGGAAGAGGCACAGGATAGTGACTACATCTCCTTTGGCACCATCGGAAAACGACAAGGCGCTAGGGATAACTGTGGCTTTTAAAGTGCCTGCTGCATCGTGCAGGACGCTGCAAGCGCTCGGGACGCGAGTAATTAACTATCCCTGCTCTTCAAAACTCTGCCGAGCTTAGTGGGAAACCTCGTAAAAACCCGGGGGGCTGGAGCAGGAGGGCGTCGCTCGGCGTTTCTCCTCGGTCAGAGTGCGCCCGGGGCGGGCCAAGGCCGGCCGGGGTAGGGCCGGG